CCTCACTCAGCCAGTGAGCGGCCGGTCTGTATGTGGAATCCGAACCCTCGGCGGGAGCGCTGCCGCGCTTCCCAAGCGGCGCACTGTAGCAGTGCGCCACCGGGCCAGCCCGACAGTAGATATTTTGAATGAATGGATGATTTGTCTTTTATAAGTTATGTTTTTATCTGAAAAAAATTATTTAAAAGGAAAAATATATTAACTCAGATTTATTACAATTTTGTTATATGGGCTACCTCTTTCTTTGCTGTAAATGTGCTAAAAGTTTATACCATGCCATTTTATACTTGTTTTATTTGTGTGATAATTGTCTGCTCATTTGAATTATAAATTTCTAGAGGACAGGTATCAACTTGTAGACTTTCACAGTGGAGTGTTGGGCCTCTAAGGGGTAGATAATTTTGCTGATTAATAGTGGGGACCATGGCAGTGAATGTTGGGAAATGTTAAAAAAAAGTATAAAGTGTTAGTATTTTTCTATTTTTCATCTGTAGCTATTGGTTTTTTTACTCAATTGAAATCTGAGCAAATATTTGCTTTGTTCTCATTTTAATGTTATCATGGTAATTTAATTATTTTCTTCTTTGTTTATTAGATATTCCTCTTCATCAGGTAATAGCTGAGGAGTGTATTGGTTTTATGTTAAACTGGAGGGAAAATGAATATCTTACACTGCAAGTTCCTGCATTTCTGCTTCAGAGTAATCCATATGTAAAGGTAATTAATGTTTAATCTAAATAAAAGGATTATTAGAATGGTATTATTATACCTGTTTCTTTATACTACTTTGGGAACTTGTCTAATTTCTATGATACAATGTAGGATTGGACAAACACGTGTTGGTTTGTAGATAAAAGCATAGTTTTTGATAATTTAGGCATTTAACTTTGCCCTTTCTAAAATTTTTTCCTAATACCTCGTAATTCATGAGAATGCAAACACAAATTATTTGGTTAACAGACAATACTTTGGTATAATCATCAGATAGTGAGAGATTAGTGAACTTTTCTTGCTTTGGTTGCTATGATCAAACTCACTCATGGTTAGGGTTTTGGGTGCCGCTTCCATAGTGGCCCTTGCTCCCTTGTTAATGTCAAGGAAAAAGGAATCAGAGAAAGAAGTCTAGAGTAAGGGGTTGTGTTTCGAAAATAATACAATTTGGAGCAGTTTCCAAACTTCCAGTTTGGTGTGGACTATATATGCATATGCATAGGGGAAAGTCTGGAAGACATTTTCTCTGGGTGGTGGAATATTAGGTCATTTTAATACATTGTATTTTTTATTTTGTGATAAATTGTCTTATTTGAATATATATGAATTATATAATCATAAGGAAAGGAAAAATCTTAAGCATGTGACTAAAATATACCCTTTTGAAATAATACAGAACTGTCTAGTCTGCCCTTGGATCAGAATGGGAGGCAGTGTAGTATAATGGAAAGGGCACTGGATTTATAGGCACTTGGATTATAATAGTCTAGCTAGTAGGAGGACGAGGAACAGTGATAGTGTGGGATAGAAACCCAAGTTTTTCACATGACCTGCAAGGCCTTTGAAGGGTGTGCATGCTTCTGCGGATCCCACGGCAGCATCAGGTGCAGAGGCAACTTGGGGCTGTGGGAGCATGCACGGCAGAGCCGCCCGGACTTCAGGTGTGGGTCTGGCGGCTGCATCTGGCGTGGAGGCACGTGGGGGCTGCAGGGCCATCCACTGCTTGGTTGTGGGGACCTAGGGTGCTGGTCCTGCTGCTGCGTCTGAGGCGGAGGCCCATGTGGGCTGACAGGCAGTCCATGGCAGGGCTACAGGGACCTTGGGTGTGGGTCCCGCAGCTGCATCTCAGTAGGAGGCTCACGGGGGGTCCCTCACGGCAGGGCTGCGGGGACCTCTGGCACAGATCCTGTGGCTGCCTCAGGTGCGGAGGCACGTGGGGGCTGCGGGACTGCCCACGGCAGGGCTGCACGGATCTCTGGTGAAGGTCCTGTGGCTGCCTCTGGCGCTGAGGCATGTAGGGGCTGTGGGGCTGTCCCCGGCAGGGCTGCGGGGATCTCTGGCGCGGGTCCTGCGGCTGCCTCAGGCGCAGAGGCAACTTGGGGCTGTGGGAGCATGCACGGCAGGGCCGCCTGGACCTCGGGGGTGGGTCTTGAGACTGCATCTGGTGCAGAGGCACTTGCAGGCTGCGGGACCATCCACGGCAGAGCTGGGCAGAGCTGCACAGACCTCGGGTGTGGGTCCGGCGGCTGCGTCTGGCGTGGAGGCACGTGCAGGCTTCCGGGCCATTTATGGCAGGGGTACACAGACCTCTGGTGTGGGACATGTGGCTGCGTCAGGTCCAGAGCTACATGGTGTCTGCGGGGCAGTCGGCAGCAGTGTTGAGTGAACCTCTGGTGAAGATGTTGCTCTTGCTGCTTCCAGAGCTCAGGGGTGATGAGGTCCCTTGAGAGGAGGGAGATTGACTCTTGGTCCTGGAGGGCCCTGCTGTTGGGAGTCAGTTGGCTAAAGGCTTCCTGGTGTTTCTTGATGACACAGAGTAAATGCCTTATACCTTCTTGTTCCTTCTTCAAAAGGTGACATGCCACGTGTTGGATGGAAGTTGGGATAAGAAGTTGGGCCCTCTGCTGGTTTGTAGGGTGAGGTGCTCCCTGGGCCATGCTGTGTGGAGAGTAGCATGGTGGGATGGGGAGACAGGATGAGGTGTGGGGCTGGCTCTGGATCTGAGCCAGAGGTGAGGCTCGAGTCAGACGTTGGAGTTGGGCCACATGGGGGGACCAGAGTTGGAGCTGAAAAAGTTGTGGAGATACTTGAGTCTGAACTTGTACCAGGAAGTAATTGGAGACTTCATAGAATAAAACAGGGAAGCTCTAGTGGGAGACCAGAGAACGTGATTGTAGCCACCAGAGACTCACGGTACAGAAAGAAGAGGCCCCAGAAAAGCTGGCTGCATTTCTGTTGTAAATGGGCCTCCAAGACCTTGGGGTAAGAGAGCAAGAGCTGCTGGGGACCAGGGAAGCTTTGACAAGCTCTCGTTTGTCTTTCATGCTTCAGGAAGGTCGTGGGATTCTGGTGTTCCACTCATCACCCAGTGATTGTAGCATATTCCACAGTGAATGCGGGGGATGGTCTGATGCCTCTTCTTCTTTCCAAAAATTCGGTTCTTCTGTCCTGGCAATTAGTATGGGCAGCAGCTCTTGGACATAGGAGTTGTCAAACGTGGGGCCACCAGCCTCCTCCTGCCCATATATGAGGTCTCCTATGAACGAGGGCTCTGGTAGGTGGAAGGAAAGACATTCTTGCTGGGATTGGCTCTGTGACAACGTGGGTAAGAACAAGGCAGCTGCTTGCCACCAGGAGAGGGCTGAGATTGGGCAGCTCAGGCAACCAATGCTCAGGATAGCTTGGACAGGAGTGTCAACCAGCAGCTATTGTGTGGACACAAGGTCTGTGGGATGGAGTCCAGTAGGAGTGCCACCGAGTGACACTGAGAAATAGCCAGGCTGGAGACTGGTGGAGGCAGATGGGAGGCCGCAGGGTCCAGGGGTTTTGATGGGGAGGAACGGGTGCGAATGGCTGGGGGGAGAGGAGGTCTAGTGGGAGCAAAGGCTCTTGTGGTTGAGAGGCACCCAGGGGTGAATGGGATCCAAAAGAAACAATGGAGGTTGTTGGGCCTAGGGACAGGGTGGAGGCCACAGACAGAGGACACTCACCCAGAGGAGCTGGGGCAGCCTGTTGGCACGTGATGATGGGACCAGCATCTTCCACATGCTCCCTGCAAGGCTGGTGGATTCTGGCAGGTACTGCTTTGCACACCTCACCAGCAGGGTTGGGGATCTCCACCAGGTGGCAGCAGGAGACAGGAAACACATGCTGCAGCCAGGAGCAGATGGGCCAGGAGCAGTGCCCACTCCCACGGCCCCTCCACTGCCCATGCGCTGACTTCACACAGCTCCTGTGACCTCTGCCCCAGGACTTTAGTCACATCCAGTCCCCTTCCTTGGTCCCCCCCTCCCAGGACCACCCCAGGCCGTGGGGTCACATCTTAGGCCCTTGTAGGAAGGAGGACATGGGAGAGAAGGGAAAGTTCCTCACCTTTGCTGATGTGAGATCAGGCCCTGCGCCTCCTTCAGTTCCCCCAGGCCATCTCTACAGGCTGAAATCAGGAGACTTAGTTATGGTGGAGGGAGGGGTCTGGGGATCTTACGGGAGGAATGTCCTTTAGGGGAGACCATGGGAAATTAGACCATGAAGCCCTAGCATCAGTGTCCAAGGCCATGAGATCCCCGACAGTGACAGCAAGGCTTGTGGATGGGCAGTGCTTTGTCATTCACAGAGTACTTTCATATCCAGCACCCCATGGTCCTCACAACTGCCCTCTGGGGGAGGAAGGGCGGTGTCACCTCAAAGAGGAATCAGCTTTAGCAATGTTGAACAGCATGTCCACATTTGGACCAGAGGTCCCAGCTTAAGATCCAGGCAGTGTTGGCCCGCTCTTCCCCCCGCCAGCCCTGCTGGGCAACACCCCTTCCCTGGCCTGCTGTGGCTTCATTCCCAGCACTGAAACTGAGAAGCACCCGAGACTCTGGTCTCCTTCCCAGGACCCTTCCTCTCAGGCCTCTGTAAGGACATCCTCATGGACATGGCCCTCATTGCTCAGGGACGAGCAAGGTCAGGTCACCTCTGGGGCTCCTGCAGAAGGGCAGAGCCTTCCCTGGCCAAGCGTCACTCTTCCTGCTCCTCCTTGTCTCCACCTGACGCTGAGAGACAAGAAAGAGTGAGGGCTGGGACCCGAGTCTCACTCTCCTCCCCCTAGACAAGCTGCAGACGCACAGCGTTCACGAACAACACGACTTTCTACAGTTAGCTGACGGAGCCCCGTGCTCTTTTCTTGCCTTTTACTCTTTTTTTTTTTTTGTCCTTTTTGAGACTGGCCGCACCATGCTCAGCCAGTGAGCGCACCAGCCATCCCTATATAGGATCTGAACCCACAGCAGGAGCGCTACTGCGCTCCCAGCGCCGCACTCTCCCGAGTGCGCCACGGGCTCGGCCCCTTTTACTCATTTTGAACATGGATAAAATTGATTCCTGCTTTCCTTCTGTGAAAAACAGAAAGAGGGATTTTCTATGTGAGCTCTGCTGCAGACGTCCTCAGTTCCTCTGGAAAACCACAAACTAGGCCTGTATCTGAGCTGACTGTCCGGTAGGATTCCACATTCCAAGGCCAGAGTCACCTCCAGCCTCTGATGGGAGCTCTCAGGGACCCAGGAAGGCCCTCATAAGAACCCAACACACAGACAAGAATTGGCCCGAGGCACCTGCCACCAGAAGGGACTGATGAGCTCAGGGCCTGTCCTCCCATGGAAATCTCAGCTCTCAGCAATCCCATTCTAGGCCACTGAGTTGAGTCTCGGTGTCTGACCTTGCCTTGGTCCCTCTGTTGAGCAGCACAGCTGGTCTGAGAGCTTTGGACAGAAATCCTAGTGTCCGCTCTCACCCCTGGCCTGCCCCATCTGTCCCTAGAAGGATGCTGTTCTAATCTTTCCTAAGATTTCCCATCTCAGGCGTCTCTAGTTGATTTGGAAGAATGGAGATAGTAATAGGAAGAAAAGAGAGAATCACTGTCTGTTGGGTCTGGACAGAGGTTTGCTTACCTTCCTCATTTTCCTTGGTTTCCTCGGTTCAGGTAAGGAGGCATCCTTCCGGATAAAGCGGGGTAAGAGGGGGAAGCGCCCCAGCCCACCCAGGATGGCAAGGGTGATGTCCACCTCCCAGGAAGTGGGGCTGGGGCTCAGCCATGTGGCTCTGATGCTTTTCAAACATAAGAGAAGATTCTCCATTGTCTGAATCACAATGCTGCTCTCAGGCAACTGAGCTCTAGGAGTTGCCTTTGGTGCTAAAACCCAGGCCTGCATCACAGAGCTGTGGCCTCATCACAAAGGGCCGGGGGGGGGAAGAGTCTGAACCACAGCCCCTCCCCCACCACAGGCCCAGCAGGTCCCTACATTCTAGGCCTTCTTGATCCCTCCTTCCCACTCCAGCTGCCCAACCTGTCACAGATAAAGCTTAGTCAACTTTCTGTTCTTTCCCCCTGGAACCCAGATATTACCTGCTTCCTCAGAGATCCCCGCTTGTGGTCCATTCATTTCATAGTTTTTAAAAATGTGGAGTTGTCCCTGTAATTTTTGTTATTTCCCAGGGGTTATTATTACTTCTCCCAGGAGACAGGATCTCCTCTGTCTGCAACAACATTCTTTTGTGTAGTATGTTCTGGCCTTGCATCAACTCAGATATAGGAGTTAAATTTCTTCCATACTTTAGCTTTTTTGAGTAAGATTTTTATAATTTTTTTGTTTCAATTAATCTTTACTATCTTGAGGTAGAGGGACTTAAAAATACTTTAAAATTACACAAAGTTCAGAAAGCTACATACATATAAAAAATTGAATTATTGCAAGCGTCAAATGACATTTTTATACGTTTCTAGTATTTTTGCTTCTAAGATAAGTGAAAGTTAAAGTGCACAAGAAATTTTGGAACATTTTGTACACACACACACACACACCTTTGAGAAATCAATCCAGTACTCTCAAATGTGAGAAACAAGCATTGCTTTTAGTTCCAAGGACTTCTTTTACTATTACTTGTAAGGTAGGACTGCCAGCAGCACCTATTTTAGTATTTGTATATTTGGGAATTTATTTTTCCTTCATTTTAAAGGGTAGATATTCTGGACACGGAATCCTTGGTTGACTTTTTTTTCTTTAAGCTTTGGATATGCCGTCTCACTGCCTTACCCCCACTGTTTCTGATCAGAAGTCAGTGGTTAATGTTACTGTGGTCCTTTGTACAAGAAGAGAATTTTTCTCTTGCTGCTTTCAAGATTCTCTGTTTTTTCACAGTTTGACTGTGATGTTTCTGGGAGTGGATATATTTGTTTTCATTTTACTAAGGGTAAATGTTGACTTTATAGATTACTGTTTTAAGTCAAGTGTGGTAAGCTTTCAGCTATTATTTCTCCGGGTATATTCTCCTTTTCTCTTTTTTCTGAGACTTTTTCCGCCTACATTGGTGTGCTTGATGATGCCTCATGCGTCAGTTTTCTTCAGTCTCTTTTCTCTTTGTTTTTCAGATCGTGTAATTCTTTTGCATCTTCAAGTTTACTGAGTCTTCTGCCATCTCAAGTTTGCTGTTACATCTCTCAGTGAGTTTTTTCTTGGTTGTTGTACTTTTCAATGGCAAAGTTCTATTTTAATAAATAACTTCTAGTCCTTTATTGAAAGCTTTCTGTATTTGTTGAGCCATTGTAATTCCACTTTCCTTGAGTTCTTCGTGTGGTTTCTTTTAGTTCCTTTAAGTACTTAAATTCACTGCTTTGAAGTCTTTATTTGCCAAATACAACACCTGGGTGCACTTAAAGACAGTTTCTACTAATCCTTTTTTGTTTTTTGGTTTTTTCCCCCACACAAGTATGGGTCACATTTGCTGGTTTCTTTTCATGTTTTGTAACTTCTCATTAAACACTGGATATTTTAGATAATATATTGTAGCAACTTTGCATAGTAATTTTTTCCTCCTGAGACTTGTTGTTACTAGTTTGTTTGTTTAGTAACTTGCTTGTACTACATCTGTGAATTCTGCTAGAAGTGTATAGCCACAGGTATCTCTGCTTAAATTTTTGCCTTGTTTTTATTTTGATGCATGGTTTCCCAGGGGTTACTCCTTTATCTGCATGCATGATATTCAGTCAATAGTTGTCTGGATTTGCAGTATTCAGTCAACAGTTGTCTGGATTTGCACACAGACACCTTGAGTCAGTGAAGCTTCCACTATTTGCTGATGATCTGTGTGTGGACAGGGAGTGCATTCAGAATCCTGGCATCGCTGGTGTTTACCTTCTGCTGGGCTCTCCTCTTGCTATGTCTTCTCTGCACATGCACTCAGCTCCACCATTAGTCGGGGATGTGTGGGTGGTTTTGGCAGGCTGTGGTTTCTGAGGAGACTAGTAGAGCTGCTGGTCCTTCCTGCTTGTTTGCAGCAAATCACTAATTTGCCTGAAAATTCTCCAAATCATGTGTATCCCTCTGGCTGTGACAGCACAGCTGCTGGCTTCATGGCTTTCCCCAGCCTGACTGAACTACCACACCAAAGAGCTGGGGCCTGCGGGAATGTTAGCAGCCCCAGAAAGAATTCCACAGGCTCAAATTATTCTTACATGAAGCCCAGTAATTTTCATAAATCATCACTTCTCAGTTTATCATGATTTTTGGTCAATTACCAGAATACTGAAATTGTTCCTTTTTTTTTTTTTTTTTTTTGTCTTTTTGTCTTTTTTCATGACCGGCAACAGATCACAACCCTCAGTGTCGCACCCGTACCGGACTGGGACCGGCCACGGGATCGCAACCCTCGGTGCTGCGGCCGCACCTCGCTCAGCAAGTGAGCGGGAACCGGTCTGTATGTGGGATCCGAACCCTCGGCGGGAGCGCCACCGCACTTCCCAAGCGGCGCACTGTAGCAG